AAAGCCGGCCGGCCGGGTCTATTTAAAAGTTTCATGTTATGAAAACCAAGTAATCAAATTTGTATGGCCTTATATAAAAAGTCTATGTAACTTTATGTCAAAATATACTTCGTGATGATTGCATATTTCTGCAAAAAACAAAACACGTGATGCCCAATCAGATTGTTGCTTCGGATATCTATCAGCTCCTGATACCTAGTTTATAGACGAACTATAACAATAATATATAGTATAGAAAACAGTAAAGAGAACTTTTTTTACATTGAGATAAAAAGCTGGGTTAATAACAAACTAAATGAAGCATTTCTAGAAAAATATGTAAAGTATAATTTATCTTAGCTAATACATAATTAGTAAGAAAATGAAATATCAATATTGATATTTTCATTTGTAGGATGTAATCTACTTATATAATTATTTTCATTATAAGTTTGATCATGTGTATTTTCGACTTTTTCAAAATCAAATAATTTTAATAATACTTTTTCAGAATTAGATAATTCTAATAATATTTTTTCGGCATCTTTCCATTTTGTAAAAGTATTATAAATATTTACTGCTGTTGGTTGATTTATCCCAATATTTTTTCATTAAATTTACATAGCATTGTGGTGTATCCTTGACAATAGTTGGCCTTAAGTTATTGTTACATATTTCTATTTGAAGTAGTTTATTAAATTTTCGATTGTAGTAAATGGGTTTCCCATATATTATCTCCCACATAATCATACCAAACGAGTAAATGTCAGATGCTGTAGTATATGGCTTTTCTTCAAAAATTTCTGGTGCAATATACGGTAAAACTCCATAAATTTCTCTGGACCCCATCGTAGATATTATATTGAAAGTCCAATATACGTACTATATAAATTATTTTGCAAAATATTATCACTGTGCAGATCTCGGTGAATAAGTCCTTCAGAATGAATTATTCTAAGATTAGAAACAATACAAAGTAATAAATTTAATTAATATTTCCACTTCATTTGTGTTATAGACTGAAGATTTTTACGTAAGGATCCCATTTTCGCATGATTCAGAATAAGAATATAATCTTTAGAAAAATCATCCCTTGACATTCCGAGACATTTGAAAATGAAGGATTTTCATAACCAATATCACAATATGCTTTTAACTTTAATATTTAAAAAAATATTAGTTAAAGATTGTTATGAAAAACATATAAGTAAAAAAGTATTATCTCTTTTATAAACTCTTTCTGATATTTATTTAATCCATGTAATAATTTAAACACAACGCTTATTTCCATTTTATAATCTTTATCTATCTATCTAGCTTTGTACAGTATATTGTTGCAAATCCACCTTGTCCTATCCATGACACACCTTTAAATTCATTATAGGGAATCCATGTTAATAAACATTTATCATCAATCAATATTTTTTTTAAATCATCATCGACATTGGAAGCCAGTTAAACACTCATTTATTAAATTTACATAACAATAATAAACTTATAGTTAACTAATTAAACAATGTTATTTTAATTTTGCATCTAACATATTATAATAAAAAATATTAGAAAGTGTAATTTTTTAATTATAAAAGAACCAATTAAGTACTTCAAAATCGGATACTAACTTTCGATACCACTCATAAGACTTTTGTAAATCTCTTGTTACTCTGATTCCATTTCTATAACAATGTGCAACATGAGAATTTCCTTCTAAAAGTCCCATATCAGCGGATTCTTGAAAATAACCAAACGCCTTAATTCATCTTTTTCGACTTTAAGTCCATTAAGATAATATTGTCCAACTTGAAATATTCCATCATGATTACCTATCTCAGCTGATTTTTGAAAGTAAATGAGTGCTTCATATTATTAAAATAACAATACCCAATTTTAAATATTCCACTAGTATTACCCATATTGGCAGATTTTTGATAATCAAATAATGCTTTATATTCATCTTTTTCGACTCCAATTCCATTATCATAACAATTACCAACATTATATATTCCATCAGAATTATCCATTTCTGCTGCTTTTTGATAATAAGTAAACGCCTTATAACCATATTTTTCGACTCAATTCCATGATCATAACAATAACCAACATTATATATTCCATCAGAATTACCTATTTTTGCTACTTTTTGATAATAAATAAACACTTTTTATTTAATACTTCACTATGATCAGTTTATAAAATAAATCAATTATTTTATAGTATTTTTAAATGATAAAATAATTGAACTATTTCATAAATCTGAGATAGTAAAGCATAAAATAAAACCGTTATTGCATGCTCCGTATGCACTAACTGCTGTATTTTATGTTCTCTTCTGATCGTCCATAAAATACAGCAGTTATTGCATACGAAGTATGCAATAACTATATAATATTCATTTTTTTCGACTCCAATTCCAACATTATAACAGTTGCCAAGTGCAAATATTCCGTCAGAATCATCCATTTCAGCAGATTTTTGATAATAAATGAATGCCTTATATTCATCCTTTTCAACTCCAATTCCTTTACTATAGCAATATCCAAGATCGTACATTCCATTAGAATTACCCATGTTAGCAGATTTTTGAAAATAAATAAATGCTTTATGTCCATCTTTTTCCAATTCCATCTTTATAACAAAGCCCAACATTGTATACCCCCTCAGCATTATCCATATTAGCAGGTTTTTGATAGTAAATGAACGCCTTATGTTCATCCTTTTCAATTCCAATTCCATTATGGTAACAATAACCAACCATATGTATTTCTTTAGAATTACCTATTTTAGCAGATTTTTGATAATAAATAAATGTTTTATGTTCATTCCAATTCCATTTTGATAACAATAACCAACACTAAATATTCCACTATCATATCCTATATTAGCCAACTGTGGATAATAAATAAATGTCTTATATTCATCTTTTTTAACTCCAATTCCATCTTGATAACAATGTCCAACCATACGCATTCCTTCAGAATTACCCATCTCGGCAGATTTTTGATAACAAATAAATGCTTTGTGTTCATCTTTCTCAACTCCAATCAGCAGATTTTTGATAATAAAAGAGTGCCTTATGTTCATTCTTTTCAACTCCAATTCCTTCTTCGTAACAATATCCAACACTGAATATTCCATTAATATTGCCTGAATCGGCAAATTTTTGATAGTAAATAAAAGCCTTATGTTTATCCTTTTCAATTCCAATTCCATTTTGATAACAATATCCAACATTAAACATTCCGTTAGCATCATTCATGTTATCAGATTTTTGATAGTAATTGAATGCTTTTTGTTCATCTTTCTCAACACCAATTCCTTGTCTATAACAACAACCAACATAAAGAGTTCCATTAGCTAGCTGACTTTTGATAAATAAATCCCTTATGGATATCTTTTTCGACACCAACTCTAGTCATATAGCAATTCCCAACATTATACATGCCTTTAGAATTATCCATATTAGCAGATTTTTGATAATAAATAAATGCTTTATATTCATCTTTTTTTTATTCTAATTCCATTTTTATAACAATGTCCAACTTGAGACATTCCATCAGAATCACCTATCTCAGCAGATTTTTAATAATAAATGAACACATTACCATATTACTGCGAAATAACGATCATGGGCGTTATTTTGAAAATCGTATCCCCTAAAAATAGCATACTGGGTTTCGAAATAACGCCCATGCGCGTCTTGAAATAGCACGCACCATATATAGTATACTATATAATCGAATAACAAAAGTTGGTAAAAAAACATTTTCAGTTTTTTAAACGTTTTTTTATTGTTTAAACCTTTCTTAAAATATCGAAGCCTGAGATAAAATTTTGCTTTAATAAAAATATTGCTTTTTGATTAATTTTATTTTAAGCTAAGAAATTTTTTTTAAAAAAGATGCTATATCTTTTCGAATGAATTATTTGAAGAACCGGAATCCCGTTTTTTGAGTTTTTAATAAATTATATATTTCTTGGAAGTCTCTTTTACAGTTTAATAAATGGCCTTTTAATTTATCAACTAAATCAACGCAGTCTTCGCAATAATTATATTTCTGGCAAAGTGTTGTTTGATCATGTTTATCAGGTTCAGCAACTTTTTAAAGTTTAAATGAACTTCTTTTGACAATGATCTTTCACGCAGTCGAATCATAATTGCATAATTATATCATAATGTATTATAACCCATTTTTTAAGCAAAAATTAAAGTTTCTATAAGAATTTATTTCAAATCAGCTCACTTAATATCTAAAAACCCGAATGAACTCTTTATAGCTAAACAAATCTATGACTAATAAATATTCTGGGTTAGAAAAAAAAAAAAGAAACAAAAATATGAAATATTAAATGAGTTCTCAAACTCTTTAGAGACAGAGAACAAGAACGGCAAACAATTAACGGCTTGAACCATCCAATGCACATCACAAGAAGATAAAATCTGATTACTATACTGCGTACTACAGTAGGAATATTGAGATAAGTATAAATTTTAAATTAATAAATTAATTATTTTTCTTATTTAATCAATTTTTTTCCAATTTAACAACTTACATTATTTTATTATTATTCTATCATTCTTTCATCATCATCCGTTACATATTCATAATCTATTGCATTTTCATCATCGGTTTCATCAGTGGTATTTTCTTCATTGTCAGTTTGATTTTCCACATCTATCACACTTTCATTTTCATCTTCTGGAAGCGCATCCAATAACTCATTCATATTCAATTCATTTGTCTGGTTTTCAGCGACAGCTTGAACAATTGTCTGAAGACGTTGAGACATTTTATCATTTTCACTACCATCTGGATTAAGCGTAAGTCCAGCTACTTCGAAAGACCTAACTAAAATATTAGGACTAATCTCCTTCCAGGTTTTAGACACCCATTCACAGACAAGTTCATATGAGGCTTTTTTACGATTTTTATTTTTAGTAAGTACTTTTTTTCCTTCATCAATCCAGTGTTCCCATCTTTGTCTTACTTCATTTTTAAATGGCTTGTTAACCAAAACGTCTGGTGGTTGTAAAACACTAGTTGTTTCTCCAGGTATTTCTAAAAGATCTAGCCTCTCTGCTTTAAATGCTTTTTTTACATCATCACGGACATGACTTCGATGACCATCAACGAATATAATACTCTTACTTTTAAAAAAACCATTTGGTCTTGATCGAATAGCTTGTGGTATATAAGTAGAAATCATTAGATCACCTTTCATATTTGCATGAGGTGCTGCTGCGACAATGATATCTTGTGGAAATATGCTTCTGGGCTTTTTTTTTAATTTAAATATCACTATAGGCAGAAGTTTTACTCCAGTAGCCCAAAACTACAATAAAACGCAATTTATCACTTCCTGTGGTTTTGATTGGTACTTCACAAACACCTTGAAAATCTATTGTCGAGTTCCAAGGCATGTCGAACCACATAGGCGTTTCATCAAAAGAGATAATAAATTGTTTTTCAATAACATTTGTTTTTTCACGTAAAACATCAAGAAAGTCTCTAATAACTAAAAGCATATTTTTAGGAAATTTTTGCACAATTTGTGTTCGGGTACGTTTCACCAAACTATGTTGTTTTCTAAAACGATCACACCAGCTACGCGAAAATTTGGCATCCCTAATATCTAGGGTCTTTCCTAACTCCTTTGCCTTTTTCCTAATCATGGACGTTGTAACCGCAAGTTTTTCTTCTCTCTTTTTTTTAATATAATCCACCAATTCCTTTTCTAACCCAGGATACATTGCTTTTCGACCACAACTACTAAGAACACGTGTTTGATCTATATTTATATCTTTATTTTCTTTAAGAGCCTCAAGCTTTGACTTTTGTTGTCTCTATTCTTGAATCTGCCTTCGGTCGACTTTGTAAAATATTGATACACGACAATTAGATGTTTCTTCCGCATAAGCGATTATATCAAGTTTAAACACGATAGTATAACTGCGATTTTTGTGAGTGTGATCCATTTTGTTAAATGAAGTAAAAATTGTACGCGAAACAAAAAAAATAAGATAAAATTTAAATATATACCGTGATCGTGTAGTATAAAAAATCTCTTGATAAAAAAAAAAAAGTCTAATGAATACTTCATATTTATTCTTTTTAGCTTTAATTGCTTCAAGAATAACTATCATCAAACGTTCAATTAGTGCTACCTTTATCCTAGCAAATTTCTGATAATAAATTGTTATGGTTATTCTTTTTGATTTTTTTTTAATACTGGAATATAATATGTGAATGTTTTATATTTGATTTTTTCAACCTTAATGATAATTCATGCTAAAGTTATAACAATGATTAGAATTTCCTATACTGGTAGATTTTTGATGATAAACAAATGTTTTATTTATATCCTTTTTTATACTGTATAAAATTAGAACTATAATGTCTTATAGTGTTGCGTAATGATGCCAAAGAACAAAGAAAAATAAGGACATAAATTTGCAGGCGATACTTTATATATGTGCGGGTTTTAAAAAATAAATAATTCGCTTTTTAGGACCTATTCAGCAGTTCATGTATTTATATACAAATTTAGGGACAGCAAGCCTTTATTTAGTTTAGTGAATTATGTATCAAATGATATAAAAGCTACTAAACTAAATAAAGGCTTGCTGTCCCTAAATTTGTATATAATACATAAACTGCTAAATAGACTCTAAATAGGCCCTTACTATTGCTACATAGAAGTTCAACAATAAGTTAATTGTTCCTCTATACGTATACAATATATATATATATATATATTTATATATTTATATATATTAAGGTTTAGATTTTCAGTGCCAATACAGGATAACTACTTGTTTATACTTACAATTAATATAATTTTAGAAAATTATTTGTCGCTAAGTTATGTACTTCTCTATTTAAAGAGATAGAGGTTTTTTGATTTTCTGATAAATATTTATATACGGCACATGGGTGCTATTTTGAACATCTTATACATATATGCATAAAAATCAGGTTACCTCAAAATAGCGCACATGCGCGCACTCAAAATAGCGCGCAGGTGATTGAAACACCGCACAGGTACGCGTTATTTTGCAGTAATACAATATATTCATCTTTTTCAACACCAATTCCATTTTTATAACAATTTCTAACATGAAACATTCCAATAGAATTACCCATTTCTGCAGACCTTTGATAACAGACAAATGCTTTATGTTCATTTTTTTCAACTCCAATACCATTTAAATAACAATATCCAACTTGAAACATTCCTTCAGAAACACCAATATTAGCAAACTTTTGATAATAAATGAAAGCTTGATGTTCATTTTTTTCAACTCCAATTCCATGATGATAACAATAACCAATATTAAATGTTCTATTGGCATTACCTATATCAGCAGCCTTTTGATAATAATATAATGCCTTCTGCTCATCCTTTTTAACACTAAATCCTTTTTTATAACAACAACCAAGATTAAAATCCCATTAATGTTTCCCATTTCTGCAGAATCATGATAATTAATAAATGCCAATTTCTCATTTTTTTTAACTTCAATTCCTTTCTCATAACAATATCCAACTTGAAACATTCCAACAGAATTACCCAAATCTGCAGATAATTGATATTGTATGAAAGCTTTTTGTTCATCTTTTTCTACCCCTATTCCATTTTGATAAAAATGTTCAATACAAAATATAGCATTAATATTCCCCATCTTAGCCAATTTTTTCAAAACGAATAAATCTCTCATGATGCTCATCTTTCTCAACTCCTGTCTCAGATACATTCTTAAAACAATATATTTCTTCAGAATCGCTTATATCAGCAAATTACTAGCAAAAAAAAAAAAAAAGTATTTTGTTATAACTTTCAGACAATCTTCTTTTATTTGATATTTTGCCCGTATGAGTCTAACTAAATACATTTTCACATGCCATATATCAAAAATTTGATAAAATATAGTGTTCCTATCCATAAACCATTTATTAATTGTCTATTAAATATCTGAGATCTAAATAGATAATTAGTTAAAACAGACTAATAGATGGATAATCGAATAATTGATGGACTTACTTGACATAAGTAATCAACAGTATAAATCATTTGACAATTACAATTTCTAAGTTAATCAGCAATAAAATTCTATTTTTATCTGGGTGAAAATAGAATTTCTAATTTATTGTGATTACCTTAAAATTTGTAATTCTTAATACATCAGATAATTCAGTTGAATTTGTTTGGATATCCGGTTTAATGAGATGAATACCCGGATATAGTATGTCGGATAAATAGATGGCTAGATAAATATACATATTATTGTTGGTATTAGCATTAGTACGTACGTACATACATATGTTATCCTCTCTGTTCGGCCTTTGAATTATGATTTTCAGGCGATCTTCTTTTATTTGATATTTTGTCTGTATGAGCCTAACTAAATGCATTTTTTTCACATGTTATAAAGTCTTTTAGAAACAAATGTTTATTGTAATAGTCTTCATCCAAGTAAAACCAAATTAGTATTTTATAATATGTGTATCAATATAAAAAATTAATCTAAATTATACAATGTTTAATATTCATAACTGTATATATATAAATAAGAACTGAGTTATCATGTGGAATTATTGCTGATTGGGGATCCTGGATAAAGCAATTGTTTCTTATTCATATTAACACCTGATAATGGTGCTTTTACAGCCTAATTAAACTATAAGTAGAGATGCTAATTGGTAGAAGTTTTCTCGATCAATCATATGATCGATTATCTATAAAATATTCAAATGTTTGATTGGTCAAATTATGATCGATTAAAAATTAGTAATCGATCCAAATCTACAAATTATTTGATCGATTTTATTATCGATCCTTTAATCGCTTCGCTTTTTATAATGCTTTGAAAAATATTACGTTATGTTGGAGAATTAAGTTTTAATCATGTTTCATAGCCATATGAATAATTTAAATTTAGAAATAAGTTAGGTATATACGTTGATTTTTTTTCAAATATAGGTGACAGTAAAATGAAGACAAGGTTTTTTTTGATAATCCGTGACATCTGAGTAGATTCCCTTTCTAACACAGTAATAATATGAATGATAATAATAATAATATGATTAATAATAATAATAATACAAATGATAATAATAAAAAATATATATATATAGTCTGATATTAAAGGTTGTTGCTTACCATTCCATAGATCAATTAATTGATCTATTAAAGGTGCCAAATAATGGTTTAGTTGGTATAATTTGGGCTCATTGAGACCGGGTATTAACGCCAACATGAGAATGTTTGATGGCTTAAATCACTCATCACGTGAAAGATTACAAACAACTGCATATATGGCTTCAACACTATACTGAGAGTTATTGAACAGCTAGAACCAATCTAGATTAATCATTAAACCCAAATTGCTATCTGATAGGTCCCTCTGAAAGAATAGTAAATCTTCATTTGGGTCTTGAAATGTCTTCTAAATTCTTCCATCATATATGTTAGTAAGCTTTTCGGGACCATTACACCTCTCTGCCCACTTTCTACAAGACTCTTCAAAACCCTTTTGGTTATACAATAATTGTAGTTGGTGTTTTAAAGAGACTATTAGAAATATTAATGATAGTTGATATATAATTCTATTGCTTATAGGTACTTTTTTTGCAACAGAATTATTGCAAGGACGTCTTTGATTGGTCTTAAAAAAAAAATGAAAAAAAAATTTTTAATTTTTTTTTTAAAAAGAGAAAAAAAAAAAAAAATATTAACCATTGGATGGTTCAGAAGGTCTTGGAAGGTGCAATAGGTTACATTAGAAACTATATTAGGTTTATTAGTTAACACGTCATTTATGTTGTATAATTTACAACATTTCTCACATGTTGCATATTTAATCATATGAGCACAGATACCAAGAGCCTTATGCGCCATATTTAGTGAAGTAGGAAAAGAGAAATATTTTTCTTCATTCTCAAGAATCAGCAGATAATGAAGGAACTTCACCAAAGAATTAGTTTCAATTTCGGATTGCTGATATCTCTTTTGGTTTTTAAAAACCCAAAAGACAACTTACAAAAAACCTTTTTTTTAAAATAATTATAATAATAATAATAATAAATAAATAAATAAATAAAATAAAATAAATAAATAAATAAATATATATAAAACAACCTTCATTTGAATCTACTAGTTTTATAGGTATCTCTATATTTTCATATGCTTCCGGTGAGTCAAAGTCAATTTCTTGGTCGGTTAATTCTTTCTTTTCAAAGTCTAAAGAATCTTTGATTAAATTTTCCCCTTCATCAAAAAATAAGTCACCTTCGATAATAGGGTATTGTGATTTCTCTTTCCTCCAACTGGCCTTTTGCCTTTTTTAGATTGACTTATAATAATAAAACTATAATATTCTTCTAATGAAGAAACAGCAGAATATTGTCGGAGCTATTGGTTTGTATGTCTATTTCTGGAAGGTCAAGGTCCACTTCTAGAAGGTCCATTGTTGCTGCTACTTTGCTTGAAAATTTTCCAATATCAAGATAATTTCTTGCCAGAATTTTCTTTTTACTATATAAGCTTTTCTTGTTTGAGAGTCAACAAGTTTACTTTTACAAATATCGCAATTGCAAGATCTAAAGTTGCAATTTTTTAAATTATAGTTGTTTGACTTTTCGATAGTCTTTTTGACGATAGAATTTCTTTGTTTATAATCTATTATATAAGATTAAAAAAAATAATAAGGTATGAAAATATTGTATATGACTTAAATAATTTATGATAAAAGAATATAAGCAAAAGAATATATAAGCAAAAAGAATATATGAGCAAGAATAAGAACTAAGAAGGTAACTTTATTTATATATGATTCGAATTTTCAATAGACTTATTAGAATGCCAATATGACTATAAGACTTTGAGCTATTATCATATAAATGACAAATATACTTTTTGTTTTGATAATTATACTTTTGTTTTTTGTTAATACTGTTAATGCTTAATGATCGGGTT